TTGCACTTGCTAGGCAAGTGCTCTACCACTGAGCTAAATCCCCAACCCCCAGAACTACCTATTCTAAATACCCTTTGATTCACAAGTTTCTGGAGGCCTTATTACTTTTACTCTAGCATTTGTCAACACTGTTACAACTACCACTGACATGTCAGTAACTCTCCCTGGAACTAAATCCTACAAATTACCCATATTAAGGCACAAAGAACCAAACTATTTGAAAAATGGTGCTAATGTAAGCCAAATTTCCAGGTTATCAGAAATTTTGGATCATAGATGACATGCTTATAATACCAACGATTGGGAAGTAAGGGAAGGACAGCCAACATATAATTCTGTCTCAAAAAAAACAAACAACAAAAGAAATGTTGAATACGTATCAACAGTCTTATTTGATCAGGCCATTGATATGGTGGTGCACAGCTGTATCCCAGCAGCAAGAGGGCTGCCACAAGTTCAAGGCCACTTTGATAAATAATTACAGCAGTCCAGGAGACTCTAAGAGTCAACAACAACAACAAAAATGTCTGTCCATTCACTTGTGACAGCCCTGACTGAACACATACTAAAAATGCCAGGGCAGTCAAAATTTAAAACCTTTCTACCTAAAGGGCTTGAAAATCTTCAAAGGAAGAAGTCTTGGATTTCAAATATCATTAGACTTGAACAATCTTTTCCTATGTTACAGAGTATGAGCAGAATGACTGGAATGGAGAATGTTTATAATCTAAGCATATTAAATTATCCCAAACTGCCTTTTTGGGGGAGTGGGGGTAGGGAGGGGGGTTCAAGACAGGATTTCACTGTGTAGCCCTGGCGGTCCTGGAACTCACTCTACAGAACAGGACTGCCTCTGCCTCGTGAGTGCCAGGATTAAAGGTGTGAGCCATCACTGACCAGCAGTCCCAAACTGTTTTAACTTTCATTCTTCCAGAGCTTAATGACAGAAGAAAACAGGTATTCTAAACTAAAGCCAACAAATTATAGGTCTACTGTGTTATCATCCTTACTCTAAAGCCAACAAATGATAAGGTTACTCAATCATAGTAAACCCCAAACAAAAATAGATCCCAATTTGTAAAAAACACACTGCTAAAAACACATGCAGGTGCAATGCAGTTACCATAACCAGCAGTTCCTGAGACGCTCATGCTATAATGGTAAATGAAAAAGAAACACCAACCAAGAGTGGTTTATTTAAGCTGGTGACAGAACAAGTTTCTGAGCCAAGAGTCAAGAATCTAACTCTGTTGAATATACTATAACACTTGGCACATACAGGAAGTGTTATTTCCTGGGTAATTTTTCAACAAAACAGTGGCAAAAGATGCTGCCGTACATTAGCCTGCTCTGGGAATGATGCACTGACCAGTGCTACTGGACGTGGTTATTAGCTAACTTACGAAGAGGCTGTACACTGCACTTGCACTGCTGTCCTGGAAGCAACTACTGTCTGCACCAAAAAGCTGGCACCGGGGAAAGCTGTGGCAAGGAGGAAGAAAAAGGTCAATGTCCACAGGATCAGCTCCATGGATCACTTCCCTTTCACTTCCTCTCATCCTTCTGTTCCGTTTTACTGAACTATAATTCATATACTATAGAATTTACTCCTTTAAATTCAGATACCACAGAATTTTTTTTTTTAAAAAAAACCTACCCCATTAGTATTAATGACACTTTATTTTTCACCCAACTCTAAGCAACCTCTGATCTATTTCAGTCTTTACTGTTAAATAGTATCTCACTATATGATGCAGCACCTAAGCTCTTTTCTTTGAAAGTAGTAGAATCTCTTGGCTGTATCAACAAAGATGATCACAGTAGTTAGGAACTCACAGACTCCTATTATAGCTTATGGCAGAAATTTTAACATTAATCACAAAATACTAAGTTTTTTGGGGTGAGGGGAAGGACTCAATTATTGTTTTTTTGTTTTTTCCCCAGAGCTGAAGACCGAACCCAGGGCCTTGCGCTTGCTAGGTATGCTCTACAGCTGAGCTAAATCCCCAGCCCTGTTTTTTGTTTGTTTGTTTGTTTGTTTAAGATTTATTTATTTGTTATGTAAAGTGTTCTGCATGCATGTATCCCTGCATGCCTGAAAAGGTCACCAGATCTCATTACAGATGGTTGTGAGCCACCATGTGGTTGCTGGGAATTGAACTCAGGACCTTTGGAAGATCAGCCAGTGCTCTTAACCTCTGAGTCATCTCTCCAGCCCTTGTTTTGTTTTTAACTAGCTCAAGATGCTTAATTTTCTAGAAGTGGCAACAACTACCACATTGACATCAAGGTTAATGGAAACTGAGTGAAGCTCCTTGCAAGTCAAATGATTAGGTTTCCCCTTCTAAATTATCGGGAAAAGGGCTGGAGACATAGCTCAGCAGTTAAAAGCACTTACTGCTCTTGCAAAAAAGATCCAGGTTCAGTTCCCAGAACCCTCATATTGGTTCACAACTACCCATAACTCCAGTTCTGGTGATATGACACCCTCCTCTACCCTCCACAGACACTAGGTACATACATGTTTCATATACACATGCAGGCAAAACATTATACACATAAAATTAAGCCGGGCGGTGGTGGCGCACGCCTTTAATCCCAGCACTCGGGAGGCAGAGCCAGGCCAGCCTGGACTACCAAGTGAGTTCCAGGAAAGGCGCAAAGCTACACAGAGAAACCCTGTCTCGAAAAACCAAAAAAAAACCAAAAAAAAAAAAAAAAAAAAAAAAAAAAAAAAAAAAGAAAAGAAAAGAAAAGAAAAATAAATTTTAAAGAAAAAAATGCTAACCGTGTGGTGGCACCTGCCTTTAGTCCCAGCACTTGGGAGGCAGATCTCTGTGAGTTACAGGCCAGCCTGGTCTACAAAGAGAGTTACAGGACAGCCAGGGTAGTTACACAGAGAAAGTCTGTCTCCAAAAACTTAAAAAAGAAAAAAGAAAGAAAGAAAAGGAAAATTGCTAAGAAAAAAAATGGGGGAAAAGAAACTTGCAAGCCCTAAGGCCTAAATTGGAACATAAATCATCTTTAACCCCATCAAGTTGAGACAAACAGCAAAACTATCAAGTATATAAAACTGGTCTCTAAAAACTCCATCTGCTCTTCCTCTCCCTTCCTCTTAGAAATAAATCTAGTACCCTGCTGTTTCCTGCCCACAAAGGAAGAGTTTCTCCTACACCTGTTGAATGATTACCTCACTGTACTTGAAATGTATGTGTGCGGAAATGTTACTACTATCAGGGATCTGGCCAGGTGTGACAGGGCATGACTATTATCTAGTACTTGAGAGGATAAGGCAGAAGGTCCACCATGAATCTGAGGCCAATCTGAACTATATATCAAGTACCAAGGCAGCGTACAAGGATACATAGCAAGACCTTATTTCAAAAGAACACAGAAGTAAAAATGAAAACTCCTCAAAACAGGTATTTGTATTATAAGACATTCTCTCAAAACATAAAATCAGAATTGGTTTCCCTGAAGCAAGGTACAATGGTGCACACATGTAATCCCTGCACTTGGGAGGTAGAAGCAGGAAGGTCGGAGTTCAAGGCCAGTTGGGTTACTAGCTGTGTATTGGTGGGGAGAGGGAAGGGAAGGGAGGCAGAGAGAGAGGGCAGGGAGAAAGGGGGAAGAGAGAGGGAGGGATAAACAAGCTGTTAAGGGGAAAGTGTTTTTATTTTTGTTCTGCCAAAGGAGATAGTGCACAATAAACCCTCTCCATGACAAATCAAATTTAGTTAGTTAATAGACTGCTAGGGGTAATGTGCAACTGGGAAGAAGGGAAGCAGAGGAGAAACGGAAGAAGTTGAGGCTATGGAGCTAGCTCAGTCTGTAAAGGGCTTGCTGCTCAAACATGAGGAACTGAACTTGATGCCCAGCACCTGCACATTCTTGAAATCCCAGGGCTGGAGAAGTGAGACAGGAGGATCTCTGGGTTCACAGGCCAGTCAGCCTAACCTATTTGGAGAGTTCTACTGGAGACTTTGTCTCAAAAACACAGGGAGGTGGTGGTGCGCACGCCTTTAACCCCAGCACTAAGGAGGCAGAGGCAGGCTGATCTCTGCATGTTTGAAGCCAGCCTGGTCTACAGAGTGAGTTCCAAGACAACCAGAGCTACACAGAGAAACCCTCTGGAAAACAACAAAAAAAGCCAGGAAAGTGGCCCCTCAGGAACAACACTGAAAGCCGATTTGTGCTCTCTGCACTCCTGTAGTGGCACACACCGTAACAGAGGAGGAGATCAGAAGTTCAAGCCCATCCTCAGCTACCTGCCTAGTTCTAAGCCAATCTGGCTACATGAGAACTTGTCTTTAAAAAGAAATCTTGAGTTTACCTTATTTTTTTTTTGAAATGAGGTCTCTCTTTCCCATTGACAAGCTTACTCTAATTTGATTATTGACAATGATGCAAATTCAGAAAGCTAAAAATGCTGTTTATCATTAATGGAAGCATAACTATTTCTAAAACTACTTTTCTGTGCTGCTGGGGATTGAACCCAGGTGCCTCTGAGCTATAGCCTCAACCAAATCAGAAAACCCTTGTGTTGTAGTGCCACAGAGGTGTCATTGTGTTCACATCTGTGGAAAGCAGTTAGAGCCAAAACAACTAAAGTCTATAGCTCTACCAAACCTAAAAAACCTAATAATAGAAAGCTAGGTAGTTTAAGTTAACAGATTTAAATATGACAAGTTACTTCAACAATAAAGGGTCATCTGGAAAGGGTGTACTTCTAAATTGGGTTCTAATACTGGTGCTCAAGGCACAACTATTTTGGTGGTTGCTGCCACAAACAGAACATTCAGTCTCACACCCTTAATACCATGAGCTGCCCAGTCATCTTTTCAATCTGCAGCATGTCACTCATTTCAGAGTAATGACTTACACATGCAAATTTCAAATAAAAATGTAAGAGTCATTTGGACTGTGATGGCCCCTCCTCAACTTTTTTTTTTTTTTCATACTTTTAAGAAGCACCACCAGCTGACCCAAAATACCCTTCCCATACCTTCAGGCCTTTTCATGTAAGCAGTGTCCTGTGGAAACACATAACCCTGTGGACAATGTGTGAGGCACTGATTTGTAGTTGTTTTTCCATCGCAGTGATGGATTTGCGATCAGCTACTCACGATGTCTACTAGGTCCCTCTGGTGACCAACAGTGCACCAAGGCAGCAGTGGGGTTCTAAAGCCGGCTGGCAGCGGAACAGAAAATCATGAAAAATTAACACGCCAACAGTACACACGACGTGACTGAGAATTGCGTTCGCATTGCTGGGGAGCTGACTGGAGAGCCGCGCGACAGTCACTATCCCCTTTCCTTTTACCAAAGCGGAATGCCCATCGCCTCGGTTCGGCTTGCCGATTCCTCCCTCCCATTTAAAGCGGGGTTGCGATGGGAACCCCAAACCCGGGGGTTCTGCACGAGGCACCGCCGCTGGCGGGGACTCGGGGACCCACCGGTGTAACAATTGGTCACGATTCTCTGAAATATGGAGGAATGACACACCACCTTTTCCTACTCGAGACGCGGAGTCGGGAATGGCAGGTCTGGGGGCCCTCGAGGAAAGGGGGAGCACGCAGAGGAGGGACCGCGGCTCGTCCCGGGCCGGGACTCCGAGGGGCGTAGGGCTGGGGCGGCGCCCGGGGAGCGGGACGCGGGGCGAACCGGGACCGAGGAGGGCGCGCCGCCAGGTGCCGGTCCGCGGGGGGGCGGCGGGGCGCGCGCGCGCGGAGGGAGGACGGGGCGCGGAGTCCCGCGTGGCGCGGCGCGGAGGGCGCGTGGCGGGGCCGCGGCCGGCCTACCTGGAGGTAGTGGGGTTTCCTCAGCCAGGCCCCCGCGCAGAGACTCCTCGCCATGGCACTCACATCGCCCCGCCGCGCCGCAGTCGGAGGCGGACCCGAGCGCGGCCGCCCGCCGGCCGGCCTCCCCGCCCCTGCCCCGCCGGCCCGCCCACGGCCCGCCCCCGGCGCGCGCTCCCCGCGGCCGCGCTGCGGCGAGGGCGGCGGGTGGCGGAGGCCGGCCCTGCGCGCGCAACCCCACCCCCACCCCAGCCGCGGCGGCTGTCAGGCCGCGGGCGCCCGGCTCCGCCGACACAAATCCGCCTGCGCCCGGGCGCTTAAAGGGGAGGCGCGGACGGGGGAGGGGCGCGGGCGCGGGCAGCGCGGGGGAGCGCAGAGCGGGGCCTCGCTGGAGCGCCCTCTAGGCTGTGCCCGGCCCGCAGCTCCCCGGGCTGAGCCCGCGGTCCGCGCTCCTTCCGGACTGTGCGAGCCGGTTGCGTCTGAATTCCGAGGACGCTCGGAGCTGCTTGCTAGGGGACTGGCTCATAGTCCCTCTCCAGGGAAAGGAGGAGGACGGGGCTCCTTCCCGCTCAGTTCTGCGTGGCCTTGCAGACACTTCGCCGCTTTGCGTACCTTCAACTTTCTTTTCTTTTTTTACAATTTCGACTTTTTTTTTTTTTTAAGTTTGATTTGTTTGCAAAACAGCTTCAGAGTTTTCTTGCCCCTGCCACAGAATCCTGATTCGAAGGTTAAAAAAATAAATAAATAAATGGCGAATTAAATAGAGTTCTGAAGGCAGGAGCCCTGGGACGTGGCAGAGCAACTCAGTTAAGGCTACACAACGCAGGGCGTGGCGCCCTTCTTTGACACTGGTCCAAATAAGGGAAAAAGCCACCCCAGAAGGAGCACGGCTATTGATCTGAGTAACTAACGCAGGAAGAAGCAGTTCCTACTTTATTTTTTCCTCATAAGCCGTGCTTTCCCTTGATGGCCTCTAAGTTTGTGTCTAGTGCTTTCAGTTTCTAAAGACAGGTTTTTAACCTGGGAAGTATCTGTTGCTTGCAAATAAATACATTATCCACTGACTTACATTTTTAATTAAGTGACTTCAGTAATTTCTAAGATAAAGATGAATATGAGCAGGGCATGGTGCCTACAATTCCAGCCCTTGGGAAGTGTAAACGGGATCAGGTGTTCAAGGCCAAGCTGGGCTACTTAAAGACAGAGATGGAAGGGAGGCAGGGAAGAAGGAGAGACAAGGAAAGAAGGATGGATCCTTCTGGGTTCGTTTAATACTTTAAATTTGTTTTATTTATATGTGTATATGTGTGTGATTGCCCACAAAGGCCAAAAGAGGATGACAGATCACCTGGAGCTGGAATTACAGTTATCTTAAGCTGCCCAACTTGGGTGCCATGAACCAAACTCGGGTCCTCTGAAGCAACAGGAAGCCCTCAGAACAACAGAGCAATCGCCCTAGCCCCTCAGTAAATATTTTCTTAGTACCTAGACACCTCAAATTGTTCTGCTGTATACACAGAAAGACAAAGAAGGCAAAACCCCTACCTTTATGGATATTACATTTTGGAGATGGGAGACAGGCAATAAATAATAAACAGTGAATACAGAAAAGTTTGGTAAGAGCCTACACTCATAGTAGTTGGGAGGTGTAAGAGGATCAAGAATTCAAGACCGGCCTCAGCCCAGTCAGCCTGGGCTACACAAACCCCTGTTTCAAAATAAATAAATAAAGCCGGGCGGTGGTGGCACACCTTTAATCCCAGCACTCGGGAGGCAGAGGCAGGCGGATCTCTGTGAGTTCGAGGCCAGCCTGGTCTACAGAGCAAGATCCAGGAAAAGGCGCAAAGCTACACAGAGAAACCCTGTCTCAAAAAACCAAAATAAATAAATAAATAAATAAATAAATACAATTGATCTGATCAATAAAGGCGATAAGGCCAGATGTAGTAGAGAAATAGCGGGAGGCAAATCTTTGTCAGTTCAGGACCTTCTTGGTTTACATGCCCCATTGCTACATAGTTAGATCTTGTCTGAGGGAAGTGGGGCTGATAAGGGTTATGGGGTAGTGAGGGATGGAGAAGACTGCAGACAGAGTTATCTAGAAGGAAAAGATCAAGAGTTCCATTTTGCATTTGAGCTATGTATTTTGAACTCAAGTGGAGTCTGTTTGGGTTTGGGGTTTCAGTTCATTTTTTGTTGTTGTTGTTGTTTGTTTGTTTTTTAGACAAAGTTTCCTATAGACCAGGCTGTCCTGAAGTATGTAGCCAAGGCTGGCCTTGAACTCCTGATCCTCCTGCCTCTGCTCCCAATGCTGTCATTACAGCTGTATACACCCATACCTGGCTGTCAAGTGGCAATCTTGAGTAAGTGATTGTATATATGAATATGGAGTAAAGAAAAACATTCCACGCTAGAGATGGACAAGAATTTTCAGCATTTTTAGATGGCATTAAAGCCATCTAAACTAGTATGTTTGTAAAAGGGAGAAGCATAAATAGAAAAGAATCAAGGATGAAGCCCTGGGTATCAAAATTCAGGGAGACATGGATGAGCAAGGAAAAGAGGAAGAAGGAGCAGCCAATTAAGGAATGTGGTGCCTTGAGAGCCAAATTAAGCTCGTGTGGCCAAGGAGTGAATACTAATAAGTTTTCTGTACCTCGCTAATAGGTTCCTCTGCTGATGCAGTAAGCCAGATCAAGCCAAATTGAAAAAGTAAAAGAACAGGTTTTTGTTTTGTTTTGTTTTTGAGCAAAGCAACTCCCAGATGAGTTCTCCAGTCCCAAAGATTGAGGCAGAAGAAGTCACACACCCAAACTAAAGTAGGAAGGTTATATAGCCCGTAGGTGAGGGATGATGCCATGTCCACCACAAGCTGGGTTTGTGCCCGAGTATGGTCAAAAGCTGGAATGCTTAGGTGGGGACTTGGGCCGCTGGCAACTTCAGGGGAGCAGCTGCCACAGCCACCAAGAATGCGGAACTTGGCTTTTTGTTGCCTTTTCTTTGTCTGAGATTCTCTGAGGGCAGGGTTTGGAGGGAGAGAGAGAGAGAGAGAGATGGTATTTCTGGATCAAGCAGGAGTGAGCTGGAGATTCCAGCTGAACAAATACTATATTAAGAACTGGGAATTGGTCAGGCAGTAGTGGCACGTGCCATTAATCCCAGCACTCGGGAGGCAGAGACAGGTAGATCTCTGTGTGTTTGAGGCCAGCCTGGGCTACATAGTGAATTCCAGGACAGCCAGGGCTACACAGAGAAACCCTGTCTCAAAAAACAAAACAAACAAACAAAAAACTGGAAATTGACCCCACTGGATTTAGCCATTGGTAACATTTTAATGGAGCAATGGGATATGAGAGTAGGTTTAAGGAAAAGTTGGGTAAGGGATTGGAAAAATGGCTCATCTAATTAAGTGTAAACAGAGGTGGAGTTTCTGTCTTGTCTGCCTGATCCCAAATACCTGGTAGGTGCTTCCCAAATTAACACACAGAGTGTATATTAATTATAAATGTTTGGCTGATGGCTCAGGCTTATATTAACTAGCTCTGACATTTAAATTAACCTATTTCTGTTCATCTGTGTATTGCCACATGGTCCATGGCTTACCAGTCCTCTGGCATCTTGCTTCTTTGGCAACTGGTTCCCGTCTCTAAGACTCCACCCCTCTTCCTCCAAATCTTCAGTTTGATCCTGCCTTGCCATAGACCAAAACAGCTTTATTATCAACCAATGAGATCAATACATATTTACAGTGTACAAAAGGACCATCATCCCACAACATTTCTCCCTTTCTGTCTCATCAAAAAGGAAGGTTTTAACTTTAACATAGTAAAATTACATACAACAAAACAGTTATCAAGCAAAAATTATACTTAAAATATCTAGTCTATTTGTATTTGACAAAATCAGAGAAAACATTCAATTATCTATCTTATTTTGGTGAGCTTAAAGTTTTATATCTAACTTACTTTTTATCATTACTAAGATCATCTAGACAGGATTCTGTATAAATTGGACATGCAGGACCCATAGGAAAGTGACCACTGAACTTTGCCAAAACAAGGCAAGATGGTCCTTCAGGATCCTGCTTCAGGTAACAAACACATCCCTGAAACACCTCCTATAATGCCACACATGATTACTATTTTTACTGTAGAAAAAGTTGATGGAGCCGGGTGGTGGTGTTGCATGCCTTTAATCCCAGCACTCGGGAGGCAGAGCCAGGCAGATGTCTGTGAGTTCCAGGCCAGCCTGGTCTACAGAGTGAGATCCAGGACAGGCTCCAAAGCTACACAGAGAAACCCTGTCTCAAAAAAACGAAACAAACAAACAAAGTTCCTGGAAAGCCAGCATCTTCAAGTAGTCGTTCTAAAATGATTCTCATTGTTTATATTTTCACATAAATTAAGTTTTACTTTTTTTCTTCTTCACAAGTGTACATATACATGATGTATGTGAGTGTAATCATGCTCCCGTGTGTATGGGTACACTATATGGGAACACATGTGTGTGTCTGTGCATGTGGAGGCCCAAGGTTAATATTGAGACTCTTCCTTAATGTGTCTTCCACCTTATTCTTTGAGGCTGCATCTCTCTCAGTCAAATCCAGAGCTTGTTGATATAGCTAGTCTCCGGCAGCCAGCTGGCTCTGGGGATCCCCTGCCTCCACTTTCTAGGACTGCAATTGTTCTAGGACCACCATGCCCACCCAGCCTTTACAGTTCTGGGATCTAAATTCTGGTCCTCTTG